ATCACACCCAGTGATGCCCAGGGGTTACTCCTGGCTCTGCATTCAGGGATTACTCCTGGCAGTGCTCAGGGGACCCTATGGGATGGCAGAGATCGAACCCGCATCAGCTGCGTGCAAGGCAAACGTCCTACCCTGCTGCACTATCGCTAAGGCCCCCAGAGTAAAATCGTTAGTAGGACCCACCAGACCTTTCTGAGGTGGATCTCGCCTGTCCACATACCAGCCTGATCCCTCACACAAACCCACAGCAGAAACTTCTTAGAAATTTTCACCCCAGGGGTACAAGAGGAAAGGGGGTGGGGGGCAGCCCCCATGCAGAGCACTGCCGTGTGTGGCCCGGAGAGAGCCCAGCCTGAACTGACTCTGGAACCTTGCTTGGGAGGAATCCCCAAAAGTCAGCATCCACAAATAAAATTATCTTGGGTTTTCTTTTTTTTTTTTGGAATTCTGGATCACACCCTAATGGAGCTCTGAGCTCAGGAATCACTCACTCCTGGCAGTGCTCGGGGAACCACACCGAGTGTCAGGATTGATCCCGGATCAGTCCCATGCAAACTGGCTGTTCTATCTCTTCACCCTAAATAGTTCTTTCCAGAAAAAAACTTTTCATTGATTTGCCGGGTGGGTCCCCCACAGTTCCCAGAGGGGCACCATGTGGACCACCTCGTTCTTGGGGTAAATCAGTCGCAGTTGGTGGGGAGGGTGGGGGAGGTCGGCCAGGAAGTCTCTAGGCTGGAGAGATAAACCCAGATCCCGCGGAACCGGCCGGGCTCGGCAGGGGTGTAGCCCAGGTGCAGACGCGGTGTAGACGGTGCTGAAGAGCGGGTGGGGCTGCTTTTGTAATCAAGGAATGTTTCTCCTAGGCCTAAACCTCTGGTTCCAAATCACATCAACATTTGGGCGGGGGTGGGGGTTGCCCGAGGCCGCCCCCACCTTCTTGGTTTGTTGAAACTCTGATGACCCAGAACCACCCCCAAATATTACAGCCTGAAAACAAAATCCAAAAAAGCACTCTGGATGCAAAGGGCGCGGGGAGGGGGCTGGTTTTAGGGATTCAGACTGAAAGGGCCAAGATCGGAAGCGGGGTCCAGAGGGCGTCCCCTCAGCCACTGGGATTGTTCCCCCAGCAGGATCTGCTCTCCTTCCCCGTCCTCAGCTCCTGGGAGACCCCTGGGGTGTACTCAGACGCCCAGCGGGTCCTGGGGGTCTCGGCCACGAGGCGGGGGAGGCAGGTCAGCGCGGCGGAGCCAGATGGCTGGACAGGACCGTCCCGGCTGGGCTGGCGCCCCGACCCCCACCCCCACTTCCAGGCGGGAGATAAAGGTGCAGGAATGGCTGAAGGGCGCAGAGGAAGGGCCAGCGAACACAAAGCCCCTGGGCCCCGTCCTGGGGGACAAAGGGATCCATTCTCATTGGTATGAGGCGGCAGCGGCCCATTGTCCAGGACGGGCCGGCGAGTGAATTGCAAATGAAGGGCTTTAATCCGCAGGAAGAATTCCCCCCACCCTCGGAAGCCTGAGGGCCCCGGTTCCTGCCACCCCCGCCCCAACCAGACCCAGCCCCTTCTCAAGTCTTTGCAATTTTGGGTTCCCGACATTCAGATTTATTTCATCTTCTAATTACTTTCAAAATGGACTCAAGTTCCTTCAGAAGATTCTCCAAGCCTGTTGGAACCACCAGGTTTTACACGTTAAGAAGCACGTGATTTTCCCTCAGGCCTAACCCGGGCTTCTGGGCTGGGGGGAGGACCTGGTAGTTTGGAGAGTAAAACCAACAATGCAGAGTCCTCCCCACCCCCACCCGCCCGGGACTCAGCGCCCCAGTTGAGCTGAGACAGCAGGGAGCCGCAAAAACAAAATTCATCAGTAGTGAGAACTGAAGGGGGGTGGTTTCCAGGGCAAGCAGGGAGCTAGAGACTCAGGGGACAAGGGATGGGGCAGAGGGGCACCCCAGGAGCTGCCCCAGGGAGATGGGCAGAGCCGGGACCCCCTTCTTGTAGCACCAAACTGCAAAGTCAAAGTGGAATTGGCTGGGTTCACGCTGGCCGGGCTCCGGGCAGCGGGGTTGGGGGTGGGGGGCAATGAGTGTGCCTGCAAGTAAGACTCAGCACCTCTCACCTCTGTCCCCCACCCCCATTTCTCCCGGGGCTCAAGATTTCACGCCCACTGTTCTCTTCCTCATGGGCCTCACTGCTCTCCAGGCTTTCCCAGCTGGCCCACACACCTCACACCTGGCAGGGATGAGCAGGACTCAGGAGGGATCCTCACATCACTCTTGCCTGGCTGCTCCCCCAGGGTCCCTCCCTGCGCCCTTCATGGCGGCCCGCCCTGCAATTCCCAAATTGGCCATGTGTCTGGAGTCAGTGCAAGCCCCTGCCAGAGTTGACCGAGGACCGCACTGGCCTTGAGTCAAGGCCCAGGGTTGGGTCCCTGGCACCGCCCAGACAAATCAGCCCCCCCGGCCCCAGTTTTCAGTGCTTTAGCTCAGAAAGTGCCAGAGAGGCCAGGAGCTGATCTAGAGCTCGGAGCTGCACATTGTGGAAACAGCTGAATGTATTTAAGGGCTTGGGGGGAACACACCCCCCCCCCCCCCCCGCATGGACTACATGGTTTCTGAAATTGACCTTAGCCAAATGAGCAGTCACTTAGCTAATGTACATTAGTACTCCTCCCGACAATGCCCTGGAGAGAACACAAACACCGACCCACAGTTTCTGAAGACACAGAGTTGGGTCCAGCCAGGAATGGCGTTGCTGAGTCACGGCCAGAGCACATTGAGAGAATCAGCTAAATTTGTGGGTTTGGGTCCTCCCCTCCCAGCCCCCACCCGCCGCACACCGGGTTGGCTGTTTGCCTGGCACAGGGTCAACCTGGATTTGATCCCTGGCACCCTGAAAGTTCCCCAGCAATGCCGGGAGTAAGCCCTGAGCACTTCCAGCTACCTCCCACCCAGCACCCCCAAAAATGAATTGAATTTTGAAGCACCGACTGTTCCTAATGTTTTTGTGACTACAGGTTGAGAACAAATGTTAAGAACATTTTAGGCCTGGGTGCTCTGCTCATCTCTACCCATCTCCCTAGTTTGGACATTACTCAGGGCACACACAGCCCCTGCCGTGGAACTAAAAATAGGGGTTTCCTCCAACATTGATTATTGTCAGGTATCATCGGAGGAAAGAAAAAAAATCATACCCTCCCAACTCTTGAGAGAAAGAGAAAAAAAGGAAGGAGAAAGAAAGAAAGAAAGAAAGAAAGAAAGAAAGAAAGAAAGAAAGAAGGAATGAGACCTCAGGTGGTCAAAAGCCTCCTTAGGGCGTGTCTGTTCCCTGCAGCTGAAGCGGGTCTGGGTGGGTTTGGGTGGGTCTGGGTGGGTCTGGGGGCGTGGTCTCCCCAGCCCCGGTGCTCCTCACCAGTGTATTTAAGGGCCCAGCTGCATGCGCTCTCTCCCTGCAGACCCATCCTCGACGGCCGTCAGTTTTGCATGTAAGTTGCTCTTTCCTTGGCCTTCTGTCCAATTTTCCCCGGCTCCCTTCATGGCCTTTGGGACCCAGAGGTTGGGCGTGCGGGCGGCTCACCCCCTTCTGCCCCGCATCATTGCAGGCTGAAGCTGCTCGGTTTTTCCCATGTCTCCCAAGCCCCAAAGAACTAAGTCTTGCAATTGCAACTTTGGGCAAATGAAAGTATTTCTTTTGCAGATGCGGCTCAACCTAGGTTTGGACGTCTCGTGGCTACTCTGCGTGGATCCCCAGTCTGTGGTACTCAAACTGTGGGGGCACTTTCTGTCGCATGGAGGAAAGTGCCGCCATTTTTTGAGTGCTACCGGCTGGGAGTGCGGCCGTGCCTCAGCTTCCCTTGGATCGACGTGGAGGCGCCTGCCAGGGGGACTCAAATGTGGAAGCACTCTCCTGTGTCTCAGCGGAAAGTGCTACAAGATTTGGGTCTCTCCGGTAGGTTGCTCGCTGCCTGGTCGAAGCTTGGTACGCTGTTCTCATTTCTGCCCGTCTGGAACACTTGTACCCTGAGCCATGTGGCCCGACTGCCAGGAGCACCGCCCGGGAGTCCTTGTAATCCCCGCTGTAACCCGCTCATACTGGGTCACTTAGAATCGAGGCACTTGCCGTGGTTCCAGTTGGAAAGTGCTTCCATTTTAAGTGTTCCCGTGTGAGACGTCCGTCCGCGTCCTGAGCGTTGTGGCCCTGCGGTTCCAGTTGGATGGCCACCCACATCCCCTGCATCAGAGCCAGACCAGTGGTAGAAGTAACTGCCTCCTTCCCTTTGAGTACCAGGCAATTCCCTGGTGCAATCCCCAATGTCATGGGCAAGTTATTGCAATTCGTTTTCAGTTCTAATTGAAAGTAAACTCTTGAATTTAATTTATTGTGTCAGTTTTGGTCCTTTTTCTTCACCTGCTCTGGGGGGATGCGGTATTTACCTTCTGTTAAGGGTTACTGGGCTATGGGCAAATTTCAAGGGGAAGTGCTCACGTAGCGCTATACGTAGCGCATAGGTTGCAACCTTGCAGCAGCTATACGTAGGTATTGGAAGCTGTCCAGTCCTAATCAGAACCCCTTCGATTTGAGTTGGGCATCCTTTGGCAGTGGTTGGAGCTGAGTCCTAGTGGTGCTGAGTACAATAGCCAAGGATCAACTCAAGTTGGCTGCATATACTCAGCCTCTTGAGGGGTGGGGCCAGGGGACGACTGGATTTGTCCAACTTTCTAGTTTGGTTGTGGGCCACACTCCAGTGTGCTCAGGGCTGATGTGGCATGGCTGGCCCTTCCTAGGTTGAGGTGACTCTTGGCTCAGACTTGGTGTCGCCCAGGCCTGCGTGCTGCATTGCCCTCAGTCCTTGCTCAGCATCTGATGCCATAGATGATCTTAAGACTTCCGGGGCGTTGAGTGTGGGAACCCCCACAAAAACGCTGGTTCCTCAGGGACTGTCCTTTGTCCCACGTGTGCCAGGACTATCCTGGGATTTCTCAGCCCTGGACTAGGCTGCCCATCAGCACCCAAGGTCTAGGTAAGGTTTAGCCAGGCGCAGCGCTGACAGCCTCTTGTGAGTGGCCTTACTCAGGTTCATGCCAAACAGCCTGCAGGGGTTAGAGGACAAGAGGTCAGTGCCACCCTGACCTCAGGGTGACTTCAGGTCAGCTGCCTGCGAAGCAAGTGTCCTGCTCACTGGCTTAGCTCAGGTCAATCTGGACCAGCATCCTAGAAAGAGGACAAGGACAGCAGGGAGGGCACTTGTCTTCCAGCCTTTGACAAGGGTTTGACCCCCCACCACCACCACACAGTGTCCCCCCATGAGGCCCGCCAGGAATGATCCCTGGGTGCAGAGCCAGGATCAGCCCTGGGTGGTTTTGGTGGGGCCCCAGTCAAGGCAAAAGAAACAAAAACACAAGGTAGCTATTACCTCTGTCTGTTTCTGGTTTTTGAGTCACACCCTGTACTGCTTGGAGGTTACTCTTAGCTCTATGCTCAGGGGTCACTCCTAGGGGCAGTAGAGGGACCAGCCTGGGTCAGATGTGCATGCAAGCCAAGAGCCCTCTCTGCTACATCTGAGGCCCTGCAGTCTTCCTGAGGACAGGGACATGAGGTTGGCAACCTGGGAGAGTCCACAAAGCTGCCTTTCTGTCTACGAAGTCCGGAGCTGCTCCTGCAGACCCCCGATCCCTTAACCTGCAAAGACCCCGCAAGACTTTGCATCTTGCTGGGGGGAGTTGTGAGGGAAGCACAGGCCCTGGGCTTGGCCCCCTGTCCCCATGCCCTGGCTGGTCCCTCTATCCAGACCCGGGGCCCAGCATGAGCGTCCCTCTCACCAGAGCACACGGAGTTTGCAGGTGGACAGCCTCAGCCCCCGGCACAGTGACCGCACCCCTGAGTCCCCCAGGGCGTTGTTGGTCAGGTAAAGCTCCCTTAGGGTCTGGCTGGTCGCCAGGGCACCAAACAGACGCTCACCGGCCTTGGCAGTGAGGCCACAGCTGTCCAGCCTGTGGAAACATAGGGTGTGGGTGTGGGGTTCGGGAAAGCAGAGACCGCAACAAAGCAGACAAGTCCAGCAATGTGGACTGGGCAGCACAGAGGGTCCCCCCAGCTCACAGATCCATCCCGAACCCCAGGAGCCCAAGCACCAAGTCGGGAATTTTGTACATGGCTGACCCTGGCTCAATCCCCAGCACCACATATGCCCTGAGCACAGAGCTAGGAGTCAGCCGTGATTTCAGCTGGAAGAGCCCCCACAGAAACAGGGGTCAGAGCCATAAGGCAGTGGGGAGGGCGCTTGCCTTGCATGTGGCTGATCCAGACTCAATCCCCAGCACCCTCCACGGTGCAGAGCCAGGAGTCAGCCCTGAGTATGGCTGGTCAGCTGCAGGGAGAGCTCGCAATGCTGCCTGCCTGTCTGTCTGTCTGCAAAGCCAGACCGCAATTCCTCAGCCCACAGAGCCAGAAGTCAAAAATCAAAAGAAGGGTGATAGCACAGCGCGTAGGGCGTTTGCCTTGCACATGGTCGACCCGGGTTTGATTCCCAGCATCCCATATGGTTCCCTGAGCACCGCCAGGAGTGATTCCTGAGTGCATGAGCCAGGAGTAATCCCTGTGCATCGCATCAGCGGGTGTGACCCAGAAAGAAAAAAAAATCAAAACTCAGAGTCCAAAGTGGGTGTGTGTTGGTTTTAGGCCAAGCAGGCACTCCCTGGCCAGTGGTTCTTTATTTGGGAGGAGGCTGTGGGCCTGGGCCTCAGCCCCCAACGGTACTCAGGGCCTATTCCTAGTTCTGTGCTCAGTGGTGACCCCTGGTGGTGGCAGTGAGTTGCGGGACGCCTTAAGATCCCTTCAGAGGCCAAATTGAGAATGAACCTCTGGGCCTGTGGGATTTTTATCACCCAAAGGTTCCAGAGGCTCAAAAGAGTGGAAATGGACTTTCCTGGGCTAGAGCAATAGTATGTCAGGTAGGGTGTTTGCCTTACATAAGCCGACCCGGGTTCAATGCCCAGCATCCCATATGGGTCTCCTGAGCACTGCCAGGAGTGATTCCTGAGTACAGAGCCAGGAGTAACTCCTGAACTCTGGTAATTCCACCGGGTGTAGCCCCAAAACCAAATAAACAAACCCTACTTTTCTACAAGCATAATTAGAAAGTCATCCTGAGAAGAGATTCAAAGGAGAATGTCATGGCATTTTATAATACATCTCACATAAAGCATGATCGGTAATGCAATTGTGTGTGTGTGTGTGTGTGTGTGTGTGTGTGTGTGTGTGTGTGTGTTTTAAATTCAGTGAGCCCTGGATTGAAAGCCTAGCTGGAAAATTTACTAATTTTGCCATCTTAAGCTTGGCTAGTTGGCTACGGCCCTAAACACAAAAATGGGACTGACAATACTTTGCTAAGTCACCTATGGTACTTCCTTATGAGTTTGCTTCACACATAATTAGCATTATTTTCAATACCATTGTTGTTCTTGGTCATTTGGGAGACCCCAAGCAGTGCTGGTGTTTTCCAGGGGTCTACCAAAACTGTCCCAGGACCATGGAGTGCTGGGCTTGCCCTCCAGGCCTCCCTCAGCATGAGAAAATGAGAAACCCAGGGCCTAAGCAATAGTACAGCAGGGAGGGCATTTGCCTTGCACGCAGTGAACCTGGGTTCGATCCCCAGCATTCCGTATGGTCCCCGAGCACTGCTAGGAGTGATTCATGAGTGCAGAGTTGAAAGTCAGCCCTGAGCATCACCAGATGTGGCCCAAAGGAAAAAAATGAGAGAAACCCCCAACAAGTGGTCGCCCATTGCCCCCCCACCCCGCCCCGCGCTCCCCTCACCACAGTTTCTGTATCCTGCAGGTGGGGTGGGTCAGCCCATCACTCAGCAGCCTCAGGCCTTCATTCCCTAGGTCGTTGAAGCTCAAGTCCATCTCCCGAAGGTGTGGGTTGACCTGGAGCACAGCAGCGAGCCCCCCACACGCCTCAGAGCCCAGGCGGCAAATACCCAATCTGCAAAGACAGGTGACTTGACTGGAGACATTACGTGAGCCTCGGCCCCCCGGAAGGATAATGAAGTCCCAAGCAGGAGCAGGCAGGGTGTGTGGGGGGGGGGGGGGAAGGGGGGAGAACCTTATGGAAGCCAGAATGGGAAGGGCTGGGGCTGGAGGGGCAGGGGCGAGTATCCCAGCACTACCTGGTCCCCAGGAAACCATGGGAACACCCGTGGCTGCACGACCCAGCAGCACCATGTCCCCGGAACCTGGCAATGAACTGACCACCAAGCTGGCCAGAGGGCTCCCCACACACACTTCCTGAGCACCCTGGATCCTTCCCCTGAGAGGGAGAGAGAAGCACAGGAGGTACTCCAGTGCTTTGTCTGCAAGGTCAGGTTCCATCCCTAAGCACTGCTGGGAGAGCACAAGACTGAAGCCCAGAGAATCCAGGAGTATCCAGGGGCTCAGTACTGCCCCACGCAAGCAGTGAGCTCGGAGTATCCAGGAGCCCAGTATCACCCAGTTTGGCCCCAAAAGACATGAAGCAGGTCCTGGGACACAGCACACAGCTTACACAGCCCTGGCGTGTACACATCAACTTAGGTTTGACCTCGACACCCCATATGTTCTCCTGAGCACTCTCAGGGGTGATTCTCCTCAGCACCCTCAGGGGTGATTCTGGGAGTGAAGGAAAGACATAGGAATTCTTCTCTGCTCCGGGCACATTCCTGAGGTCCAGCCACCCCTGCAGTACTCCTTGCTCTGTGCTCAGGGATGACTCCTGGCTCTGTGCTCAGGCCTCACTTCCACATCTGTGCTCAGGGCTGACTCCTGGCTCTGTGCCTCACTCCCAGATCTATTCTCAGGGCTCACCCCGGCTCTGTTTTCGGGACTCAGTCCCAGCTCTGTGCTCAGGGGAGCCTCTGTGGGATCTGGCCCAAGTGGGCTGTCAGCACAGCAAGCGTTTTATACCGTGCTGAATCTCTCCAGCCCCGGGACCTTATCAGGGCCAGGTTGGAAACCAAGAAAACAGGTTCACTCTGAGTCCTGGGGTTCCCTGGAGCCCCAAATAACAGGGGCTGAATGCTATTGTTGCTGTAGGGAAAAGCGGGGAGGGGGCTGGTGGGGGCAGGCAGGGGAACTCACCGGAGAGTTTGCAGTCGGCACTGGGGGTGCTTGAGGCCCTCGCAGAGCAGCAGCACACCGGGGTCCCCCAGTTCATTCAGGCTCAGGTCCAGCTCGACCAAGCTGGGGCTTGCACCCAGCACGGATGCCAGGTCCTCACAGGCCGCTGCCGTGAGGTGACAGATCTTCAACCTGGGGAGACCCGGTGCTCACCTGGCTAGTGTTTTCTCTCTAGCTGAGCTCCAAGGGGCGGGTCGAGGGGGCTGTGGGCACCCCTGACTTCCTCCTGGCTCTGTGCTCAGGGGTCATCCCAGATGATGCTCAGGGGTATGTGATACCAGGACCAACCCTAGTGTCGGTGCCTGGGCTCGAGTCCCATCGTCCAGCACCTCTTTTCTTCATTTTTGCTTTGTTTTGTTTTGTTGGTAGTGGGGTCACACCTAGTTGGCTGCATGGAAGGCAAGTGCCTTACTCTGCACCAACTCTGGACCCATGAGGCAGCTGCTTTCTATCCCCTGTACCGTCTCTGTGCCCACTGGCTCTAGGAGGCCTGTGGCTCTGGCCTCTGTGTCCATATTGGCAGTGAGGGAGTGAGCGCCTCCTGCCACGAATCTGCCCCATAGATGGGTGCTGACCCACCACTGCAGCTGGAGAACCACAAATAAACCACAAGTAAACCACAAGTATCAGAGCCTAGGAAACACTCAGTGCCCCCTCCTTTGGTTTCAGTCTCGGGCCACACCCAGCAGCTCTTCAACACACCCTGCCCAGTGTTGCTAAGGAGGAGGAGGATGTGACCTCTGAACTCACCACAGGATCCGCAGCCTGCAGAGGGGATGCCTCAGACCCGGGCACAGCAGTTGCAACCCAGAGTCTTTCAGAGGGTTCCCCGTCAGGTCCAGTTCCAGCAGATGGCGGCTGGTACTGAGCACAGATGCCACCTCCAGGCAGGCCTCGGCTTCCAGCTGGCACTTCCGCAACCTCGGAGCAAAGAACCATGAGGTGAGGAGGAGGAGCAGGATGTGGTCGTGAGTGCAGGGAGCATCTTGCTAAGGAGACTGAGCAAAGCCATGCAGTGCCAGGGTTTCACTGAGCAGGGCATGGTGGTTTAGGTCAGACCCCAGAATCTAATTCTGCATTTGCTGGTCTCCATCGCTCCCTGGCATGCTTTCCTATGGTTTTCCTGTTGCTCTTTGTGAGTTTGTTTTGGACCACAGCCAATGGTGCTCAGGGCTCAGCTCACTCCTGGTGATTTTGGGGGACCCTATGGGGTGCTGGGGATGAAACTGGGGTCTACTGTACATGCAAGGCCAGTGCCCTGACCTCCGTGTCATGTCCCCATGTCATGTCCGTGTCTGACATTATTATTAGTTTCTCTCTTCTTTTTGGTCACACCTGGTGATGCTCAGGGGTTACTCCTGGCTATGCTTGGGGAACATATAGGATGACAGGAGTTGAACCAGGGTCAGCTGCATGCAAGGCAAATTCCCTCCCTGCCGTACTATCGCTCTGGACCCATTATTTTTTTTTCCTTTTTGTTTTTTTTTTTGGGGGGGTCACACCTGGCGATGCACAGGGGTTATTCCTGGCTCTGCACTCAGGAGTTGCTCCTGGCTGTGCTCAGGGGACCATATGGGATGCTGGGAATCGAACCCGGGTTGTCCACGTGCAAGGCAAATGCCCTACCCGCAGTGCTATCTCTCCAGCCCCTTATTTTTTAAATATTTTTTCTAGTTTAAACATTTTTAAAAAATTTTTATTAGTGATATTTTTTATTTTTAATTAGGGTTTTTTTTTTTTTTTTTTTTTTTTTTTTTTTTGCTTTTTGGGTCACACCCTGCGATGCTCAGGGGTTACTCCTGGCTCATGCACTCAGGAATTACTCCTGGCAATGCTTGGGGGACCATATGGGATGCTGGGAATCGAACCTGGGTCGGCCATGTTGGCTGCGTGCAAGGCAAACGCCCTACCCGCTGTGCTATCGCTCCAGCCCCTAATTAGGGTTTTTTTGGGGGACACACCTGACAGTGTTAAGGGCTTACTCCTGGCTCTGTGTTCAGGGATCACTCTTGGAGGACTCAGGGGACCATATAGGATGCTGGAGGTCAAACTCAGGTCAGCCATGTGCAAGACAACTGTCTTGCCCACTGTCCTATCGCTCTGGCCCAATCATTGTTATTTATGGGTTTGGGGTCACACCCAGCTGTGCTCAGGGATCATTCCTGGTGGGGCTTGGGGGATCCTATGTGGTGCCAGGGATTGAACAGCCTCCCAAGTGAGGGAGAGGCAAGGGTCTCACTGGAGCATTTGGAGTCGGCAGCTGGGGTGCCGGAGCCCCTCACACAGCAGTTTTGCGCCCGCCAGCCCCAGGCCATTGCTGCTCAGGTCCACCCTGAGCAGGTGGTTGTTGGCGACCAGGGCAGCTGCCAGGTCCTGGCATGCGGCAGCCGGGAGCCCACAGCGCTTCAACCTGCATGGGACAAGAGAGGCAAGTCAGGGCTATGCCTAGCATCGGGATAATCCTGTCCCCGTGTGTTGTCGGTCACCCTCCCTTTCTCTTTCCCTTTGGGGGGCCTCTCCTTGGGGCCAGGTGCTACCTCTGTACTCCCAGGGCAATTTCTGCCTTTTAAAAAAAAATAATAATTTTGGTTTTGGGTCATACCTGGCAAGTGCTCAGGGTTTAGTTACTCCTGGCTCTGCTCTCAGGGATTACTCCTGGGTGTACTCTGGGGACCAAATGGGATGCCAGGATCGAACCCAGTCAGCCGTGTGCAAGACAAGCACCCTATCCTCTGTACTACTGCTCCATTCTCCAGTTTTTGTCCTTTTCAATGAGCATCCAGGGCAAACAAACCCTTCACCTTTTTCTTTTTTCTTTGTTCCTTCTTGGTGGGAGGTTGGAGGGCTCTTGCGATCGGAGATCACTCTGGGCAGTGTGTGAGGGGCCCTGCACCAGCTTGCTGCCCCTCCCCTGCCCGTAAGCTCTTTCTGGGTGAGATCCTCCCATGCTCCCCCTGCCTGGGAGAGAACCATGGGAGCTCCCGGGCCACCAGACTCACCGCAGGTTCTGGAGTCTGCAGCTGGGGTGCCGCACCCCCTGACACAGCAGCCTCACCCCTTGGTTCCCCAGCGCGGTGCGGTAGAGCGCCAGCTCCAGCAGGCCCGGGTTGGTGCTCAGAGCCTCTGCCAGCTGCTCACCATAGGCGGCAGGCAGGACACTCCTCTCGGGGCTGCGTCGGGGAGAGAGGACAGATTGGGTCGCCCACAACAATGACATTTGTCCCTGGTGTGTCCTCACGCACTGTGCACTTTTTTTTTCTCTCTCTTCATTTTAGTCCCATGCTATTCGCAGTGCAGTGAGTCAAGCCTAGAGCAACATGTGTGCAGAGCAAGGACTCTAGGCAGGACAGAGTCCAGCAGGTAGGCGCCGACCATGCATGCCACCTACAGGGCTTCGATCCCTTGCAGCCCATATGTTCCCCCCACACACCCGGAGCCCCCCCATTCCTGAGCATTGCCTGTTGTGGCCCCAAAACTAAAACATAAAAAAAAAATAGGCGCATATGCTGCCCAAGCCCATGTGCTGCCTGTGCCCATGTGGCCGAGTGCATGCGGTGCCTGAGCACAACTGCGCCCAGGTCTTCCCTCTTGAGATGTATATTTTCATGCTTTCCTGTTTAATGCTGGGATGTGTGTAGGTGCTCTCTCCACCCTTCGAGAAGCCTGGGCTCTCTCTTGAGCAGGTTACTCTCCACTCTCCCACTTACTCTCCCTCCTTCCCTTTGAAACCTCCAATAAAAAAAATGTAATTTCGGGGCTGGAGCAATAGCACAGCGGGTAGGGCGTTTGCCTTGCACGCGATCAACCCGGGTTCGATTCCCAACATGCCACGTGGTCCCCCAAGCACTGCCAGAGTAATTCCTGAGTGCATGAGCCAGGAGTAACCCCTGTGCATCGCTGGGTGTGACCCAAAAAGCAAAAAAAAAAAAATTGTAATTTCAAAACAAAAACAGAGCTGTGTTCCCCTATTGGAACATTGTATGAACAATGTTTTCGTACTGTGTATCTTATGGCGATTCAATTAAAAAAAGAAATGAGGGGCTGGAGCAATAGCACAGCGGGTAGAGCGTTTGCCTTGCACACGAACGACCCAGGTTCGATTCCCAGCATCCCATATGGTCCCCTGAACACTGCCAGGAGTAATTTCTGAGTGCAAAGCCAGGAATAATCCCTGTGCGTTGCCAGGTGTGACCCAAAAAAAGCAAAGAAAAGAAAAGAAAAGGAAAGAACTGTGGCCCCATACCATCCAGGTCTAATGGTTTGGGTTGGGTGCCCGGACACTCCCTGAGGGGGGCGCACCTGGACACTCCTTGCGGGTCGCACTCCCAGATACTCACTGCGGGCAGCGTTCCTGCGGGTTCTGCGCGTCTGCCCCATAGGCGGCGCCGTACAGGTGCAGGACCACCAGGTTCCGGCAGCTGCGCGCACAGAACGACGACACGGCGTGCTGCATGTTGGTGGTGATGTCACTGACCACCACCACCTGGAAGGGGCTCAGGGCCTCCTGAATGAAGGCGTCCTCCTGGATCTCGTACAAGCAGCTGAAGAGCTCCAGGGAGCCGCGCTGCAGCGTGCCGTCGTCGCTCTGCGCCTTGGCGCGGATCCATGCCAGCAGCTGTGCGCGGACGCCGTGGGGGGACGCGGTCCAGCCCAAGCTCCTCTGCAGAGCACCCTGCAGATCCTCGTTCAGGAGCCCGAAGAGAAAGTGCACGGTGAGCGCCAGGAAGCTCCGCTCCGACAGGCCGTACTCGGCCAGCAGCCTGTGCACTGGCGAGCTGCTCCCGCATGCCCCGTGCGCCCCATCCAGCGCATCTGCCCCGGCCAGCAGGTAGTGCATGGCCGCAAAGAACTCCTGGAAACTCAGGTGGATGAAGCTGTAGAACTTCTCACAGTCGATGTCCTTCTGGAAGATGTTCATATTGAGGAAGGACGACACGTCCGCCCCGTCGAGGCCGTGCTGGCGCAGGTCCTGCTCCTCGAACAGGATTTTCTGGCTCCAGAGACCGCTGGCCGCCAGCGAGCAGAGTCCCCTTAGGTTGGGAGGTGGCTGCGGTGCGGCGGTAGCACCGGACTTGGGCTGCATGAGGGTGAGGAAGTAGAGCAGGTAGACAGCCGTGGTGGTCCGGGAGGTCTGTCTCAGGAGCCCACCGGCCTCCAGCTGCTGCTTGAGGCACGTGCACACCACCCAGCACACCAGCGGCACAAAGCAGAGGGTGAAGAGCGGCTCATTGTCCCGCACCAGGCGGAAGGCCAGGCCAGCTTGCTCCGCGTCGAGGAAGTACTTGTGGAAGTACTCCTCCCGCTCCTGCGGCGAGAAGCCCAGCACCTCCACGTGCCGGGGCTGCTGCAGCAGACGCTGCAGCTTCTCCAGGGCCGTGGGCCGCGTGGTGACGAGCAGAGATGCCTCGGGTAGCAGCTCCTTCCTCATCAGGCTGCCAAGCAGCAGCGCGGGGGGCTGCTTCTGCTCCCAGCCCAGCTCCGGGGGCCCACGGGCGTCGTGGAGGGCGGGCTGGAGCTCATCGAAGCCGTCGATGATGAACAGGAGCCGCTCGGGCGCGCGCAGCAACTCCGGGAAGGGTGCGCGCAGCTCGGACAACAGGTCACGGGCACTGCGCGGGGCAGCGCCCTGGTTCAGCTCGCGGCAGTTGATGTAGAAGACGTAATCGAACCTGTCCTGGAAGAGGCGCCCGTCGGCCCAGTCCAGCATCACCTTGTGCGCCAGCATGGACTTGCCCATGCCGGCCGCCCCCTGCAGGACCACAGTGCAGGGCGGCTCGGGCCGCGCCTCGTCCGGCTCGAAGAGCGCCTCCATGCAGATGAGGCTGGCCTGGCGGCCGGCGGCCGGCACGTGCCCGCGGCCTGTGCCCAGCAGCGTCTGCTGCGCCAGCAGTGGGGTGGCGTGTTCCTGGACCAGGAGCAGCCGCGTGTAGCGCTGGCTCAGGTTCACGCACTCGCCCAGGCGCCCGTTGCGATCCTGCATCAGCCGGAAGCGGCGGCGCACCTGGTCCCGGTACGTCTCGCGGGGATCTGGGGGTTGTGGAGGGTGGGAGGCGACAGTCGCATCAGTGGATGTTCAAGTGGGAATGCCAACTGTGTCCTGTGCCCACTTCTCAAAAGAGGCTAGAACGGCGCTGAGATGTAAGACAGCAGGGAGGGCGCTGGCCTTGCTCGTGGCTGACCCAATTTGGTTCCCCAGCACCCCATATGGTCCCCCAGCCCTCCAGGAGATCTGGGAGTAAGTGCTGAGCACAGCAGGGTATAGGCCAAAATTAAAATATAATAATAAAAAAATAATAATAACAATAATAATTATTATAAGCAGGACAGGGACTTCCTTCCACAGAAAGGGCTTTTGTTCCAGGGGCTAGAGATGAGAGCTGGGGGACAGTGCTGGCCTTGCAAGCAGTTAACCCAGGGTTGATCGTCAGCAACCCATATGTCCCCTGAGCCCTACCAGGAGTGATCCCTGAGCACAAAACAAGGAGTCATCCCTGAGCACCGCAGTTGGTATGGGCCCAAGCCCTTACCAACAATAAAAAGAGTTTACCTTCTCATGGGAAGCAGAACGAGGGCTGAAAACCACAGGGTATGACCATGCAGGGGACAGAGTATGGGGTGCTGGAGATAGAACCTGGTCAGCCGTGTGCAAGGAAAACACTCTCCCCACTGTACTATCGCTCTGGCCTAAGAAGTTTAGGGCCCCGAGGATGCTGCTGGAGCGATAGCACAGCGGTAGGGCGTTTGCCTTGCACGCAGCCAACATGGCCGACCCGAGTTCGATTCCTCCGCTCCTCTTGGAGAGCCCGGCAAACTCCCGAGAGTATCTCGCCTGCACGGCAGAGCCTGGCAAGCTCCCCGTGACGTATTCGATATGCCAGACACAGTAACAACAAAGTCTCCAATGGAGACGTTACTGGGCCCGCTCGAGCAAATCGATGATCAACGGGAGGGGCTGTTAACCAGCCACAAGAATTCCCACTCCCAGACTTCTCTATGTGCAGATATTAAACAACGGTCTTATTGGGGGGGGGGGATTTTATTTCTTTGATGGAGAGGTGGTATATGCATCATAGCAAACACGTGACTCATGACTCACCTTTTCTTGGGGTTCCAGATAAGACTCCCAGAGGACATGCTAACTGGCTCCTCAGCAAGGATGCAGTATCTGGAGACATTTTGGGAGTCAGCAAGCTCAGATCTGATGAGCGCTTCATCACGTCAGCTGCTATTACAGCAAATTGTCCACGTGATTGTTTCCCATCTGCGCCCCAGGCTGTTCGGGTAGCCCCTCACATGATCCTGGAGAGCCCTTGCTTTTCAGAATCCACTCTCCCACCTGGGTACCTACTAGGGTGATTGGCACCTCCAGCCACTGAATAAATCCCCCCATCAGGAAGCTCTGTGTCAGCTTGGGTTCCTCCCTATCCTTCACACCTCAATCCTGTCTCATCTGCCCACTCACTTACATGCTTACCAGCCATCGATCCACACACCCACGATCCATCCATCCACCCATGCACCATCCATCTTTCCATCCACTCACCCACCCACCCACCCACCCACCCATCCAACTACTCCTCATCCATCCACCATCCACCCATCCACCCATCTACTATCCACCCTCCATCCATCCACCAACCCATCCATGCAGCATCTGCCCACCAGATATCACAGACAAGGGAGGGACATCTCTCAGCCGGTGTCCACTGAGCTCAGCCAAGGGTAAAGGGAGGGACAGGATGGTGAGGGCAGTCCTGGGGGTCCATCCCCTCCTTACCGCTCACCAGCTCCTCTCTCTGGCCTTTCTCCCATAAGTCCTTCCTGTTGATCTGCTCAAAGATGTTCAGGGCCCTCAGCCAGGCCCCCTGCTCCCCACAGTGGGTAACCAGCAGCTGGGCCACCTCCAGAGGCCCTGCGGTCTCCAGGCAGCTCCAGGCAATCCCCCTGGGCCCTTGTGCTGAGGCTGGCCCCAGGCAGAACTTGAACTTTTTGAGCTCTGTGGCTCCCAGTTCTTCCAGGTAGGTGACCAGGAGCCAGAGGCCATCCCTGGCCGGGGCACAGGGCACAGGGGTCCCAGAGAAAGGACATGGGAGACGGGGCAGCTGGTCCATGTGGAACAGACGGTTCCTTCAGGCAGCCCCCACTCTACCACCTGCAAGGGCAGCTTGTCTGTTGAAATAGACTTCACCCCTGTAGCTTTCACAGCTGGGGCAAGAGGAAGTCGGGTGATGCAATGGCAGAGGCCAGCGGGCTTGTGAGAAGGTCTGAGCTCTGCTCCAGCGCTGCCCTCTCTCCCCACTGTCCATGCCTTCTGTGGCTCAGGGCTGATTCTTAGGAATCCCTGTCCCCGCTGGGTGGCTTCCTGTGGCCTCAGATACAGCTGTGGAGCTGCTAGGATGCGTAGCACATCTGTGGGCAGATAGGCATGTGTCTCTCTGCAGGGGAGGGCTAGAAGCCAAGAGGGGTTCATCGACTCTCCGATGTAGCGCAGTGCAGGAGAGCTGAGCCAGATGTCCATCTCCTTCAGATCCTGGGCCTTTCCTCGGGAGAATGAAGTTGGCTTATTGGTCTGTTAGCTTTGGGGATACCCTTGGCAGTGCTCAGGGGTGACTCCTGGCTCTGCTCTCAGGAATCACTCCAAGTGGAACTTGGGGATCCAAATGGACTGTGAGGTGCCAGGGATCGAACCTGGGTTGGTGTGTGCCAGGCCAGCACCTTAACCCCTGTGTTCTCTCTCCAGTCTGAGTGTAACCCTTATCCGCTTATTTATTTGAAAGGGGTAAACTGAGGCTAAGGGAACTAAACCACCTGAAGACCAGCTGCCAAGGGGGTGGTGGTTGTTCCTCCCACTGGCCAGGGCCCCACACCCCCACAGGTCCTGCTTTCCCCGCTGTGTGCCCAATTGCAAAACTTCCTCTGCCCGCTGTCCCCATTTCTGTGACCGCAGCTGGGCAGGAAGCTCTGGCCTTGAACCGCTCCCCTCACACCCTTCCCCCATACACTACAGGGTGGGACAGGGGTTCCCACACTGGTCTGACCTGCTGCCCCCTTTTCAGATGCTCAAGGTTCTTCCTGGCTCTGCGCTCAGAAATCAATCCTGGTGGTGCACCGGGGACTATATGGAACACTGGTTGGCTGTGTTCAAGGCAAACGCCCTCCCTGCTGTGCTGTTGCTCTGGCCCCTGCAGTACTTTACAAGTTACACATTACAAGTTACAGCGACCTCAGTTCCCAAGGCTGATACTTCCTGTATAGGGGGAGCATCCCAGAAATCAGTACTAGGCACACAACGCAGGAGAGCTCTGGGCCTCTGTGGACCTGTGCCCAGGGTCAGGAGGAGACAAACAGCCACTCCAGAGGCTCAGAAGCATCCAATGTTCGCAGCCACATCTCTCCTTCTCCCCCACCTGGAGCCATTTTTCACCTCCACAGGCGGCAGACACTGCAGAGAGACCAGCCTTCCAGCCCCATGCAAACAGTACCCCAACAAGCACCCCAAAACTATGGGCTCAGAGTCACACTGGGGGCCAGATACTTGCTCTGAACAGAAAATCGCATCCCCATGGGAACAACAATCAGCTCTCTGGAGCAGTAGGTACGATCTTGGTGTTGTACAAAGCCCTCTTGTGGGGGTTCAGCTGCCCAGTCTGCTGGTTGGGGGGTGTCACCAGGATATGCCGGGAGTGGGCAGAGAGGGTCCCCAAAGCAGAGCTTCTGCACAGCAGCAGGCTGCCTTCAGGCCATGCTTTCCCTGTTTTTCCTTTTTTGCTTTTTGGGTCACACCCAGTGATGCTGAGGAGTTACTCCTGAATCGGCACTCAGGAACTACTCCTGGTGGTGCTTGGGAGCCCTTATGAGATGCCAGGGATCGAACCCAGGTCAGCTGCATGCAAGGCAAAGGCCCTCCCCTCTGCAGTATCGCTCTGCTCCGATTTCCCTATTTTTCGTTTCTACTCTCTCTGCTGGGGGTCACATTACAAATTTCTCTTCTCTCTCTCTCTCTCTCTCTCTCTCTCTCTCTCTCTCTCTCTCTCTCTCTCTCTCTCCCCCTTGCTCTCTCACTCTCGCTCTCACTCTCTCTTTGTGAGTGTGAAGGAAAGAAAACCTAGGTCAATAAATTTACAAAAAAGAATAGTGATGGCAGAGGGTCAGGTGCTGGAGACAAACAGTTTGCATGCAGGAGGCCTGGGCTCAATCCCCAGTCCTACAGTGCCCCCCCAAGAAGCAGCGTGAGATTGGGGAGATGGCACCAGGATCAAGGAATTTGACTTGCACACAGCTGACTTTGGCACGAGCACACACACACACACACACACACACACACACACACACACACACACACACACACACAGAGTTAATTCCGTAAGTAATCATTCATTCTTTGTTTTGTTTTTAAGCCACACCTGGTGGTCTCAAGGCTGACCCTGTGCTCAGGGATTGCTCCTGGCAGGGATCAAGGCCCCAAATTGGTTGCCCTGCAGGCAAGTGCCTTAACCCCCTGTACTATCTCTCCAGATCCTAAAATAAATATTCATTCAAAGTCAGGTCATTTAATCCAAATGTAAACTGTTTTGTTTTGGGGTCACACCTGTAAGTGCTCAGGGTTTACTCCTGGCTCTGCACTCAGGGATCACTCCAGTGAGCTTGGGGGACCACATAGAATGCCGAGGATCGAATCCAGGTTTGCTATGTGCAAGGCAAGAACCCTGCATACTGTGCTATCACTCTAGCCCCATAAATTGTTTTTTGTTTGTTTATTTTTAATGTTTTATTTTGTGTTGGGGCCAGAATTCAGCAGTTGCCGCGTCTGGCGCTGCGGGGCCGAGCCAGGGGAGGGCCGTCAGGGTGAAATCAGCACTCGAGTCACACAGGGTTCCATCATTCAGGAGATGGCATGAATGCGTGTGTGCGTTTATTCAGAGCATAGGTACAGACTTAAGTATGTTTCCACAGCCCACCCAAAAGAAAGGAAAGTGGATGGGACGTGGGAAAGTGGATGGGACAATGAACAGAGCCATGCACCGTTGATCAGCCACCTGGTGACCCTTTCGACCCAATGCTACCGGTCGGAGCGGCCTGCTTTGTCACAGTTTTGACATATCCATAGAGACTGTGTGGTTCCTCATACATCATTTACAAATCATTTACGAGGGTGCATTTTCCCCAAACTGAAACCTCCTGTACTGGGAATTTGCCCAGCTTTGAGCAGGACAAAGGGGGAATGAAAAATCAAGCATTCTTTTACTTGGTCAGTAGGCAACAAGCAGTCACACCTCGCAATGCTCAGATAATCATGTACAATGTCTGCCTCATGCAAGAAAAGTGCTTTTTCTTGCTCTTTAACCTCCCTCCTCCCTTTTCCCCCACTTGGGTCCAAAAAAACTTCCAGGGACGGTGGTTTGATCAAACCTGAAGGGGCTGGAGCAATAGCACAGCAGGTAGGGCATTTGCCTTGCATGCGACCACCCCAGCTCGATTCCCAGCATCCCATATGGTCCCCTGAGCACCACCAGGAGTAATTCCTGAGTGCAGAGCCAGGAGTAACCCTTGAGCATCGCCGAGTGTGACCCAAAAAGCAAAAAAAAAAAAAAAAAAACTGGAGTTCTTCTGGGGAACAAGAAAGTGAGGATCAAAATAATAATAATAAAACCTTTTCACCAAATTAGATCAAGGTATCTTAGGTATCTTAGGATACGAAATTTTTTCATTATAAAAAAGAGGGGATAATGAAGGTGCTTCGTGTCTTCATCATCTGTGTATTAAGGCTTAGTACAATGCCATGAATAAACTGGTTTGTGAATTAAAATAGATTTAAGGGATGGCCGGTGGAACGTTGTATGACTGAAACCCAATCATGAACAACTTTGTAATGGTATATCTCATGGTGCTTCTATAAAAAAAATTTTTGTGTGGAAAAAAAATTAAAAAGTCATGCCCGTGGTAGCTACTGAGAATTAATTGGACTGAAAAACCCATAATGGCTTCAGATACATTTCTACCATCTTGTGAATGTATATGGAAGATGAGGGCCCTAAGGTGCCATCTAACAGTGAACCTTTTACACGTGGCCCTCTCAGGGAAATAGAATTCATTCCCAACTGCCATCAGCTCTCAACAAGACTGTTTCAAGATCCAGGAAGTAGAAACTGACACTTTCTTAAGGCCCAGATTCAGAAAATGTATTCTATTGATCAAGCAATCACAAAGCCCGTGTAATTTCAAGTGGAAGTGACATGGAGTTCATATAATACAAATTTCTACAATAAATTGCAATGTGGACTCTTGGTTCCCTGTTCATTGAAAAAAAAAAAAAATGAGGATCTCCAAGCCGGTGGCTGCAGACAGCGGCTGCTTCCGGTAGAGGGCGCAGCGGCGCAGTGAGAGGAGCCTTTGCATGGTCAGCGCAAATGGAATCTTCTGGAGAATGAATGGTTTTGGTTGACAAACTGAGATGGCAGCGGGCTGGAGCAATAGGATAGCGCAGAGGCAGTTTTTTTGCTGGCGGTCGACCTGGAGTTTGGTCTCCAGCACCCTACATGGTCTCCCAAGCGCCGCCAGAACTGGTGCCTGAGCACAGAGCCTTGGACTAAGCTCTGAGTACAGTTCGAGGCCCCCTAGAAAGAGAGAGAGAAAGGCGGGGAACAATGCTGTCATTCATGGGGGTCTTCCCAATGCATCATTGTTTTGCAATATATATAACACTGCCTCAGGCTGCTTTCTGCAAGTGAGTGGGTGGCCAGATCCAGGCACCAGGAGGAAGCCCTAGATCTCCCTTAGAAAGGGCTGCTCCCCGCTGGTGTTTCTGGCAGGTGGAAACAATCCCGTTTGGAGGCAGCAGGTAGCAGCTGGGATCTGGGTGACAGGTCAAAGGACTGAGTGCAGGCGCTGCATGCGGGAACCCAGGTTTCATCCCCAGCACCACGATCCCTCCCTGAGCACCACCAGGACCAACTTCCAAGCAGTCTTAGCCCCTCAGAAGCAAAGAGGTAGCAGTGTGGCTCAGTAGTCCAGGAGGTCTAAGTGGGGTCTTTACCCTCCCCTTGTGGCTCTGTGGTACCCTCCTGGTTTGTTTTGTTTGGGGGCAACACCCAATGGTGCTCAGGGATCACTC